AATAAAAACATTTTATATTATATTTTACTTGCTGTACTTCATTGTTCCTTATTCCTCTGTGTATTTGGGGGAACAGAGAAAGGTGAGCTTTGTTTTTTATTATAGTTGCAGAATCATTTCCCTCTCTGCAGTGAGTTACAGTGTAGATTATAGCCCTATGAGTGGCATTGTGAAGAAATGCAAGCCTGATTGATGCTGATAGGTTTTGAAGCTAAGCATCCTTATTTTCAATATTCTTAGGTTTCCTTTTGTTATATAGATAGTCCTCCATTTATGACTACAATTGAGATCAGAATTTCCATTGTTAACCTGGGTGGTTGTTAAATGAGTTGCACTCAATTTTATGACTTTTTTGCCACAGTTGTTGAGCAAATCATTGACATTGTTAAGTGAATCACGGGGTCTTTCAACAAATCCAGCTTTACCTATTGATTTTGCTTGGTGGAAGCTAGCTGAGACAGTCATAAATGGCAATCACATGACCCCAGGATGCAACCATTGTAAATAACATGCCCGATGCCAAACAACCAAAGTTTGATTGCATGACACTGGGGATGCTGCATTGGTTGTAAGCGCTATTGTAACTTTGAACGGTCACTAAGTGAATGGTAGCAAGTCAAAAACTCCCTGTAGTTACATGGTTCCGCTTGTTTTCCTATTGAACTGTTCAGGTTAACCCAAGTTGTCTTGCTCTCTGTTTTTCTCCTGCACAGAGGGAAGATAAGTTCCTCCTTTATCATTGATCTAGTACAGGTTTATTAATTGCTGCATGCATCTTAGTTAACGTACAACTCTTGGCACAATGTATTTGTCACATTAAAGGACAAGCTGAATTTGGTGAACAATTGTGTGGCTGATGAATAATCTTATAGGCAGGCGATGTCTCCTAAAGCTGGAAAGGTTGCCCGTCTGAAAGCTGCTTTTCCCCTATCTATCTTCCGTGAACTGAAAAACAACCCTCTAGTTGTCAGCCTTTGAAATGCAGCTGTTCCTTTTGACAGGCTTCTTTTTCAAAAAGTCTAGCATTGATATTGTTGTTTGGAAGCACTGCGCCATCTAAACAAAGCCATATATTTTATTTGTTAAGTCAAGTGAAAAATGTGTCTGCCCTTCTCCAGTTTGTTGGCAGGAACTGAGCAAACATCCATTCTGCTTTGCTTTTCTTCCTGGAAATCGGTTCAGTAATTGTGAGAAAAATCTTTGATCAGCAAGCCTGCAAATATAAATCCTGTATTAAAAGAATAATAGTGGTTTATTAACTGGCTGCAACAAAAGCCTAATTGCTTCAAGCCATAACTCCAGTGTCCAGTATTGTACTGTATTCCAGTACATAACTCCAGTATTCTTGTTGTGATGGCCCATTCTGGCTATCTTTAGGAATAAGTTCATAGTAGCAAGGCCTATTGGTGTGCACTGTGGCAATGCTGCTGTGTTTTCATCTTGGTAGCTCCTAACCACAAAGTAGCAGCTAAGGGCAATTGGCTTGCATTAGACAGAAATTTCCAAAAGTGGGTGCTTTATAAACTGCTGCCGAGCATTACATCAAGACTTCTTGGGATAAGAGAGACAAAACGACAACATGTTTGCACTCCCAGTAAGAGGTTTATAATCCAGAAAAAATCCATCAAGAATAGAATCAGATAGACACATTTTGTTTTTCTAATATCAATTTGGACCATAATACAGATTCCTTATACTCTTGTTTTCTAAGCGTCTTCCTTATGTGCCCGCTGCAATTAATATGAGGTAGCAATGAGCTAAAAGCTTGAAGTACAGGTAGTCCTCAACTTACAACAGTTCATTTACTGATCATTTGAAACTTCAATGGCACTGAAAAAAGTGAGTTATGGCCATTTTTTCACACTGATGACTGTTGCAGCATCCTTATACTCACATGATCAAAATTTTATGGACACTGAGAGCATTTGCACCAAGACAAATTCCTTGTATGTCCAATCACGCTTGGCCAACAAAGAATTCTATTCAGATGCTTGGCAACTGACCAATCTTTAGTTGCAGTATCCTGAATTGCCTTTGGCAATGTTCTGACAAGCAAAGTCAGCGAGGAAGCCAGATTCATTTAACAACTGTATTCCTAACTTGACAACTACAGCGATTCACTTAATAACTGTGGCAAAACAAAGTTATAAAATGAGGCAAAATTCACTTAACAACTGTCTCACTTAACAACAGATATTTTGGGCTCAGTTGTGGTCATTTGTGCGGTGTGTGTGTGTGTATGGTGGGGGTGGTGGGGACAGCAGACCTAATTACCATTGCCTATTAGTAAGGGCAGATGGCTTGAGAGAGCAGCAAGAAGACAAGCAATTGTCCAATAGAGTTAGAGAAGCCAATAGGAAGTCCAAGATATTTTGACGAGGACAAAATGGAAGTGACCTGACTCTCATGACTTCTGGAATTTCGTCCTTGAGAAAGCCCGGAAACTCATGATTGCATCCCCATCCAAAAAACTAGCCAAACGTTTCTACTGTAGCAGGTAGTTGGAGAGCAGGACAGATTTAATTTTAAACTGACTGGTTTTATTGCTCTGCTGTTTAGTGTTGCCCTGTAGATTTATTAGGCTGCTATTTTAAATTAATTGTTAAGCATTTATTGATATTTTGTAACCATTTAAAATTGGATTTTAATTGTTTTGTAATTTAATATTGTAGGATGCCCTAAGGGGCCCGTTCAGGCAGTGTAGCAGGATATAAGAATAATAAATGTGTAACTCTTACTAAACTTTGGTCCAGAAAATGTGTGTTTAAATGACTACCAATGTTATCTTCATAAACTTGTTTTACAAATTTAATTGCCAACAAAATATTTGATCTTCAAAATGAAGGAGTCAAAGCTAGTGAAAACTTAGAAAACTGCTAGAAGTCTACCAGCAAAGATCTTTTACATCAGTTGCTAGCAGCGGATGTCCAAGGTTAAATATGTTATTGTATGTGGGTGAAGCATATATTTTATCATTGGACCATGGTCCCATCTGGCACGATTCCACAGAATACATTTTGGAATTTTGCTACCTTTGCATCTTTTTTTTTAACCTTAGTCCTTCATAATCTCAAATTCCTGTTCGGTAAATGATTAACTATATGCTAAGATTATACTAAAAATGTGGAAACATTGAAATGAAACTGTAGCCTTATAGAAGGGATAACTACATGATGTGCTCTTGCAAAACCTATAATGCTTTATTGACCCAAATATAAATGTACATAGTCTGTATAATGACTTCAGAATCACAGCCAGGAGGAACCACCAGAATGTAAAATAGGATTATTGTGTTTAATTCAGATAGCCCACCTAATGGTCTTAATTAATTTAAAAAAGACTGTAGGAGAAGGAGTGGCAGAACCTGGGTGGAGTCAAAAGAAGAATCAGCCTAGAGTCTCTACGGAACCCCTCTTGAATTCCAACCCCTCTTGAATTCCGTTGACCCTTATTTAATGCCAATATAGAGCTGACTGTTAGTGGAATAGATTCTTGTATATAGGCATGATTAGTAATAAAATTAATCTAACTGGAACTTCACATGTGGTCCTGATCTTTTGTATCTTTTATTAATCTACTCCACTAATGGTCAACACTATCTTGGTGTTAGATAAAGGTCAACAAAATTTAAAAGTGGTTGGGCTTAGTCTGTTTGTGGTTATGTAGAGACTCTAAACCAGTTCCTCTTCTGACTCCATCCCAGGTTCCCCCATTTCTCCTGCAAAGACTCTAGTAACCAAAGTTGTCATAAAGGAAGGAGGTTGGTAGGTTGATTGGTTGATTGATTGGGCACAGCTTCATATAAGCAATAATGATTGTAATACTCAATTAAGGATACATATTCTTTTCAAGGATGGCCTAGATAATAATCCATACTCCACGCTGACAATCTCCCTTCTGGATTTCTTTATCATACTAGATATGTATCTGCTTTTAAAGATAACACGTAACCGATCAATGTCTTTTTGAGATACAATTCCAGTCTTAAAATTAATGCCTATACATCACTAGTCTGACCTCTACATTTTAGTGATGTTCAGAGTCCTTAAAGGTTTAGAATATTGTTACATATGGAAGCACCTCCTCCAGCATATACCCCTCTGAATGTTAACAGCTGTAAAGGAAAACCCTTTTAGGGATTCTACAGTTGGGAGTGTTGTGAGCCAGTGATCCCTGGCTGTCGTGTGCCCTTCCCATGGTGACCAAGTTGGTGCTCTTATTACCTGCCTCTCAGTGCCTGGTGAAGACCTGGTTTTTGTAGTAGTTTTGTATTCTGGAATCCTGAGCCGGATTCCATTTTTTTTTACTTCCTTGGGTAGTTTTCTAAAATCAAGTATTTGGTAGCATCTTTTCAGACTAAGATATTTTATTAAAAAGCATAAGCTTCTGTGAGCTAAAGCTTATCACATCTATGTCATTTCACAATTTTATTTTCATTTGCTATCTTGGAGTCATCATTGACTCCTTGGGACTCCTTGTGATTACCTAGACTAGTCCTTGCAGTTTTCTTAGCAAGATTTTTTTTTAAGTGGTTTGCCATTGCCTTCTTCCTGGGGCTGAGAGAGTATGACCAGCCCAAGGTGACCCAACTGACTTTGTGTTCAAAGCAAGGCTAGAACTTAAAAGTCTTCTGGTTTCTAGCCTGATGCCTTAACCACTATACCAAACTGACTCTGATTCCTGTATGTTTAAAATTGTTAACATATTTCACTGTTTTATCTGGCATATTTTACAGATTGTAATTCAACCATAAGATATTTTGAAGAACATGAAACAAGCCAGAGTTCTAAATTAATAAAATAAGCAGTGGTTTCTCACATCATGAAATCTCCCTGTGGCTGATGGGTTGTTGTTGTTTTTTAATGTATGTTATTGTGCTGTTCCTTGTTAGGGACAGATTCACGGACAAGATCTGTCTTAGATCTTAGCACCAACTTGACGGCACGCAGACCTTTATTGTGTTACTGATTCATTCTGTGTTTTTTTTTTAATTTGAACAGAGCAAGCTGAAAAGAGAACAAAAGGAAGGAGAAGTGATCCAAAAAGAAAAGGAAGAGATGATAGGAAAAGCAGTCCTGAGAAGAAAGAAAAGAGAAAATCAGGGAACGAGTTAGTACTTGGACAGCTGGGTAAGTTTAGCTTCAAAATGTATGTCTGAATTACCTATCAAGCCTTTAGAGTCATATAGATGAGGTTATAAATACTCAAAACGTTTTCTGAGAAATAAATGTTTAACTATATTTTAATATTCATCTCACCTTTGACACACATTCATTTTAGCCATACAGGGTAAATTTTGGAAAAACAGGAGTTGTGTTTTTTTCTCAGTTTGGTATTCTTACTAGTTTGTGTCAAATATATAGGGCATCATATTTTGCAAACTGCAGGTGGCATTCCTCTGGGCAGAGTGCTCAAATATATAATGGCTGTTCCACTATAGATATTCTTGGATGCAGCTGTTTAATTGGGTCATTTAGGTTGTGACACAAAAAAACCATCACAGTTGCTGCTACGCTGGGATATACTTCATGGTATACGCGCATTGGTGCGCTAGGGGATGTGTCTCTTGCGCTTGCCAGACTCTCTGCCCTACTTAACTTCATTTTTATTTGCTTACTTTTTATATCATGTTACCTTTTCTTCTAAACAATGTCTCTGGATTCCACATGGCCCATCGAGTAGCCTTAGAAAATAAAAGCAGTGGACTTCTGCAGGCTGTACTGTTTTTGGAACGCCTGTATCCAGAGAACATGGGGCATGGGAAGAACAGGCATGATTTTGTGGGGCTGATGGAAAGGGCAAACCACTGTAGATGTGTGTTTCAGATTGGCCACATTGACTGTTTTGGACCCTTTATGAATACCCAAGTCCCCCTCTGTCCATCAGCATCCATTTGGTAAAAATGTGCTCCTTTGTCCTGGTGGGTGACTGAGTGGCTGATGCTAGAGAAGGACCAGGAATTGAAGATAATTTTGATTTTATTTCTCAGCAACTCTCCATGCACGTACACGTGATGTTCTGAACAGACTCTCAATTTAGGGATTAGAGTCATAGAATTATTTGATTCCAGATTTCACTGATCACTGTCAGCAATAGCAATAGCACTTAGACTTATATACCTCTTTATAGTGCTTTACAGCCTTCTCTAAGCAGTTTTACAGAGTCAAATTTATTGCCTCCAACAGTCTGGGTCATTTTACCCACTTCAGAAGGATAGAAGTCTGAGTCAACCTTGAGCCTGGTGGGATTTGAACTGCCAAATTGCAGGCAGGCAGTAGTCAGCAGAAGTGGCCTGCAGTACAGCACTCTAACCACTGCGCCACCAAGGCTCTTCATCCATGGGATATATATGTATGCTGAGATGCTATAGAGTTTTATCCTTTTCCCATTATTTTCTTTAATGGCATCATCCATTATTTAGGTATAATACAACTCTGTTTCTTGTTTACTTTGGAGAATACTCCATTTAGAAGGGCTAAATCAGCAGCATCCATTCATGATTGAGAAAAGGCTGTACAGGCACCAATAGGCTGTTCAGTGGTAGAGATGTTATTGGATTGTGGTTCATCTATCTGGGGTTATAGTCCAATTCTGGATGCAGTTGCACATGACTTTAAACAGCACTGGCTTGCTCCTTAAAATGGGATTGGATTGTTGTAAGAGGGTGATTGTTTCCCTTGCAAAGGTCTGCTCACCTAATCCATATTAAGGAGTACTTTTTCAAATCATTGGGAGCATATGACCCTCTTGGAAACAGTTTACCCATTGGGAAGAGCATAAGGCAAGCCTAGCTCCAAGGAGGTACTGCTTCAAAATGCAGGGGCTATCTTAATGAGAAATTCCGTTTTCTAGATTTCACTCCCCCTTCAGCTTTCTCGCTGATGGAAGCAATGGGAAAGTGTAGCTCTAGAAAGCTTTGACTTCCATGCACTTGGAGAAGTGAGGGAAGAGTGAGAATATTCCCAGTCCTAAAAAAAAAAGAGGAGGAGAATGGCAAAGCAAGCAATGGATGAAAACTCACCCAGCATAGAATAAATGATGTATGGGTAGAGAGAGCGTCATATGATCTCACTCCAAATCTTGACTTGCTGTAGACCACTGTTTGAAAAAAAACTATTACACAGAAGGAAAGGTTGGCTTTACTTTGAGACATGTAAGCTAGAGGGAATTCCCAACTCTGTTCTGATGTCCACTGATAGAGAACCTCATCATGTTGTTGCTGTGGATGATTTAGAGTAGGGTGTCAAACTCACGTCACGGCGGCATCACGTGATGTATCAGGACTTTCTTCCCCAATGCTAAACCAGATGTGGGCATGGCCAGCATATGACACATCCGGCCCATGGGCCGGGAGTTTGACAGACCTCATTTAGAGAAACAGCATGTTCGTAGTGATCCATGCTCTGTAGCGTCCAGATTAGTCTGTGGAAATGCACAGAATTCCAGCAGCAGTTTGGAAACTTCTAGTTAAAACAATCTGCCAGCCTATTAATAGAGTCCAGGTACTGCAGGAGCATTTCACAACTATTACAGTGGCTCCTCGTGTATTTTTAGTTCAGTTTTACTGATGGTTATCTTTGAAAACTTCCATAGTTTGAGACCTGTTCTTCAAAGCATGGTAAAGAGCCACCAAGATCTTTTTAGAAACTATCTTCAGGTGTCACTACTATCTGAAGGTAAAGCAAGTGATCCATGTGGAAAGTGCTCTTTTTCTGGCAAGGTGTCCAGTTTATGGGATACTTTCTGCCAGGAGAATTGCCTGTTCCCTATCCTTGCCCTGTAAGAGAAATAGCTTGTTTATTTGAAATATCATTTCATTCTCACGTCTAATTTGATTCATCCAAAACTGCTATTCAGAAGTTTCCATCTCTCAAGGAGCAGGAAGCCTATTGGAGTTTTGTTGCGACTTAAAAACTAGAAAATACCTGGTGGCATAAACTTTTATGGATATTCTAGCCCTTCAGTTATTACTCATGCAGGCAATTTCTATCTCATATATTCATGGTTAAAAAACAATATCAAAAAGGGTGCATTGGATGTTATTAAGTTAAGAACATAACCCTGGGAAGGGCGTTATAGGTAGTCTGTTCCTTTCTGTTGTGGAGACATTTGTTAAGTGAATTTTGCCCCATTTACAACCTTTCTTGCTGCTGTTCTTAACTGAATCACTGCAGTTATTAAGTTAGTGACACGACTGTTAGATGAATCTGGCTTATCCATTGACTTTGCTTGTCAGAAAGTTGCAAAAGTTGGTCACAAGACCCCGGGACACTGCAGCCGTCATAAATATGAGTCAGTTGCCAAGCGTCTGAATTTTGATCAGTGTCCATGGGGATGCTACAAAAAGGTCACAACTCACTTTTTTTTTCTGTGCCGTTGCAGCTTCAAATGGTGACTAAACAAATAGTTGTAAGTCAAGCCTGTATTTAACAGTGAGGCAAAAGGAAAATTACCTTCAGAAAATAGAGTGATCATGTGACGGTGTCTATTCACAATGTAGTTGCTGCCTGTGATTCGGATATTCCTGCATTATTGAACTGGTTTCTTGTAATCTAATTATCAGACAGTGTTTGAATTTGTAATGAGGTGTAAAAAAAAAAAATCATGACTGATCTTAACGCATTCTATGTTTCTACCCATTCTTGTAATAGGCCTGTCAACTTCCTTTCCCATTGCCGGGACCTTCTTCAACAGCTGGTTGGCTCAATCTGTACAGATCACCACAGAGAACATGGCAATGAGTGGGTGGTCCTTGAACAATGGCCATCATGAAAACACAACCCCAGGCCTTTCCGAGGAACTTTTACAAGATGAAGAGACCTTATTAAGTTTCATGATGGATCATTCCTTGAAGTCACCTTTGAAGCAGAGTGACCCAGCTAAGAAAACTAAAAGTAAACATCGAACACACACCAAGAAAAAAACAGCAAGAAACGGCTTAAATGCCCTCTTTAAAAGACATCAAGAAGAGGATTCAAATCAATGGACTAACAGCAGTTACTTGGCAAATAACACGACAAAATCTTTATCCCACGATTTAAGAAATGGCAAGGCGGAGAAAAGTATGGACAAACTGTACTCCGAGCGCAAAGGGGCCTGTGAAGTGAAAAAGACATCTAAGAAGGGCTCTTCTCATCCTGGACTTCCTCTTCCAAAAGCAAATGATTCGCAAGCGTCCCCGAGTCTCATAAATAACCTAAACCACGATGAGGATGTCATGAAATACACCCCAACAGATCCTAACACTCTGGTTCAAGTGCCTGATTCAGTAGGTAGTCTGAAAACAGTGGTGAGGTTCAAATTACCGAAAGAAGGCAAAGGGACTCAAAGATCACAGAACAAGGCACCTGAAATGCTTCATGGACCTCCAGAAAATGAAAGGTCAAAGGTTATATTGCATCCTTTTGACAATGAGACTGATGGCTACTTTTCAGATGCAGAAATGAGTGACTCTGACACAGAATCTGGAAGCGGCAGAGGGCACCACAGCCAGTTAGATTCAGGAAACGAGGATAATTTCAGAATGAGTATTTTGGCATCTTAATGCACCTCTGAGACCAGTCATGACAGCTTTGTGAGGCCTAAATCCAGTTAAAACTGCCATGTCCAATTTCAACTGGTATAACAATGGGGTTTGGTTTGTTACTTTGTTTTTAATTTGTATATATAATTCAGAAAAGAGCACTGTTGTTTCCTCTCTCTATATGCTTGAGAAACAGCTCCAGGCTTCACCAATTTTGACTTCTATACAGTCACAGTAGTTAACCCTTGTCACATGTATATCTTGGTTACATAGAATGCAGGCATACACATTATTAAGGACATCAGTTTTCTGGGAGCAAGCAGGACATTTCAGGATTTTAATGAGGAGATCTGAGATTGCCAGCGTCTGTTGTTCATGCAGGGATGACAGCTTTATGGGCATTACTTAAGTAAATTGATTTCATGATCTGCCAGATGTTACTGCCTCTTTCGGGGCAGGTTTCAGAAGGAGAATACTACTATGGAAGCCAACTATATCCATAGAACGTGGAATAGTAAAAATAGATGTTTATAGGTATGTGTGTCTGTGCACCTGCACATGCATGTACACGTGCAGGGTTTGCCAGTGTGTATGTCTGTGTGTGCAAGTATGAAGTAAAATAAGCGATTCTTTTTTTTTAAAGAAGCACAACAGGCTTATTTGAAGAAAGCACTTAATGGGTAGAGGAATACAACATTGTATTTATGGTCTACTAAACTTTTTTTCCCCTTCTTCTCCCTTACCTCTTCAGTTCAATTATCCAGGAAGCAAGAACCACTCCAGTTATCAGCTGAGAGCTCTATAAAGACCCATCCAAAGCTCTCAGTAGATAGAATTTACAAATCCACGCTTAAAGCTGCTCTGTTCCTTGTCAGTATCTTTCCAGAGTAAATTGGGGTATTATTTATACTACTCATTGGTAAAACCTAAACCTTTGATTATTAGAGCCATTCCCCCATACTTTCCTCAGGTTAAAATAGCCTAGTATGGGCCAAACAAAGATCAGAAGAAGAAATGTTTCAATTACTCAGAGGGGGAATTATTCAAAGAACTTCAAAGAACTCCAGTCTGTGCTTTCATGATAACTCAATACATCTCTGCTCATCTCTAGGAACTGCTTCTGTACAGTAGCAGCCACTTGGTTGAAGAGGCAGCATCATTGAAACATTTCCTTTCCCATCTTATTTGTTTTTATAAACACTAATTACATTGATGGCTTTTCCCCTTTATTTCCTTTCCTTTCAAAGTAAAAACTTGTTAGTGAGCCATCAACACATCCTAAGAGGGTGATTCACAGAAGTCAGCATTCTAAATATTTCAGTAATACTGTACATCAGATGTTTCTAATAAGCCTTAAATGTTGTTTAAAAACTGGTGTGACTTATGAGTCATACAGATCTCCAAGTTTGCACTTCGTTACACTATTGATTCCATTTTGGCTTCAAAGGTTATAGTCAAGGGTTTGAGGTTTGCTACAGGCTTGATGGGAGTGGCCCCAGTGTAAGCTCAGGGAAGTAAAATAAAAAGACAAGTGAAGTTCACTAAACATTTTTGCTGATGGTAGGTAACTTTGAATATGTGTGTGTGTGTATGTGTGTATGTGGTATACGCACATTTATACATACCCTTACATATGCACACTGGGACACTTTCAAACTGGGGGAGAAAAGCATCTTTTAATTATGATGAATCTGTGAAATTATTTTATGGATGCCAAAGAATATAGTAAAATAGCACAGCCAGAAACCAGAAACTTATTATGAGCAAAAGCTGTTGAATAACTAAAGGACTAAATCTGTATTCATGACCCATTTTGCAAGCTTGCTGAAGATGATGCTTTCATCATTTGAACCATCTTCCACCATTGTGATTTCTGATGTTACTTGTTCACTGCAGTGAGAGCAATATTACTATTATTATTTTGTTCTCCGATGCCATATACTGGCAATCCTTTTTTTTTTTTTTTTGGGAAAGTCTCATTATTTTTACCAGTCTTCTGAAATCCTTAATAATATTCCAGTTGAGCTATAAATTAGAGAATCTCTATTCTGGAAAGAAACCAGAATCAGTTGCCAAATACACATCAGTGTTTTACTGATATATGTTTGCAAAATTATTTTTCAAATCATTGACCAAAATGGAACCGTTCAATGTTAGTAGCCTAACATATGGATTGGCAAGTAAATTTTGTTCCATCTTCGAGGCTTGGTATGTTCAGATAATGTTAAATACAGTAAATAGGACTTAGTTTTATCTTATCAAGCTTGCTAGACTTTAGCTACAATATCCTAGTTATGTCATACAAATAATCAATATGCTGCCTTTAATGGATCTTGCTTCCGTGTGCTTTAGTTCAACTATTGCTTTAAAAACAAGAGGAAAAAAAATCCAGAAATCTTGCTGTATGCAGCTTCATTTGCCAGCTACTGCATTACTTGCTTGCTCACTCAATACAGGACAGCAAAAGGGGTAAACTTTAAAGAACAACCAAATTAAAGCAACACCTCTCTTCATTTAGATGATGTATATAGAAGGGTGGAACACTCCATTTTTTACTGTGAATAAGATGTTATTATGAAATAATTTTTTAAAAAAGAAAATGCAAAAATAATTATTACTTTGCCATGGTCCAGAGTCTCCAGTTTAATCTTAACCAGTGATATATATATTTATGTATATGAATATATATGTTTTCTTAAGTTTTTGCGGGTACTTACATGTATGGTATTAGGCTTTGTTCGGGTATTTTCCCACGTCATTGTAGTTGTGCTTTTAAAGTTGTAGCAACGTTTCGGCAGAATCTCATCTGCCATCATCAGGCTTCTGTATTGTGTTCGTCTGTGAGTCAGACTTTCACAGCTGTTTCAGTTTTAAATTTGGGGCTAGCCTACTGCT